GAAAGGAAAGCCATATAGTGAGATTCTATAAATGTCTAAAAGGACAATGTGTGTGAATTTCTTGAATATATGTAATATTTCTATTCTTTTTTATTCCTGTGACATGCATTTCTTGAGATTTGGTGTTTATAGTGCTATACGAGATACAGAAATTCAAAATGGAAAATGAGCACAGTTTGGGCTTTCCTGGTGGCGCAGTGGTTAAGAATCCGCCTGCCAATGCAGGGGACACGGGTTCAAGCCCTGATCCGGGAAGATCCCATGTGCCACGGAGCAGCTAAGCCTGTGTGCCACAACTGCTGAGCCTGCGTGCCACAACTACTGAGCCCATGTGCCACAACTACTGAAGCCCGTGCACCTAGAGCCCAAGCTCCCAAGAAGAAAAAGCCACTGCAGTGAGAAGCCCGTGCACCGCAATGAAGAGTAGCCCCCACTCACCACAACTAGAGAAAGCCTGCACGCAGCAACAAAGACCCAACACAGCCATAAATAAATAAATAAATAAATAACAAAAAAGAAAAGAAAATGAGCACAGTTCACTATGACCCAAGGGGCTACTTCTTGGGAAAAATAGGCTGGCCTTTCCCTTGGAGGCCTTGGCACACCCAGAATCTGCTCTCAGTGATAAGCCCCCCAATTTTTTTCTTTTTTTTTTTTTTGGCCACACTGCATGGCTTGCAGCATACTAGTTCCCAGACCAGGGGTTGAACCTGGGCCACAGCGGTGACAGCACTGAGTCCTAACCACTGGACCACCAGGGAACTCCCAATAAGCCCCCAAATTTAATCAGTGTCTCAGAGTTGTTCTCAGGGGCCAATTCATATTAGCAAAGCTCACAAGAGACTGATGTAAAAATCAGAATGGCAATTTTTTTTAACACTAGAAATGTAACTCTAAAGTGGATTGGAGGGGACTTCCCTGGTGGCACAGTGGTTAAGACTCTGTGCTCCCAGTGATTTTTAAACACGTTTTTCAAGGTGCAAGGAATGCAAGCTTCCATTCCTGGTCAGGGAACTAGTTCCCACATGCATGCCCCAACTAAGAGTTTGCCTGCCACAACTAAGAGTTCACCTGCCGCAACTAAGACCCGCTGCAACCAAATAAAAAATATAAATAAATATTAGAAAAAATAAAGTGGACTGGAGATTCCTGTTAAGGTCACTTAATAAGCATGGGATTAGTACAAGAATTTAGATGATTTGATGGCTTGTTAGCCTGATTAATATATTAATCAATTAATGCATTCATTCAATAAACAGACTGAGTACCAACTATGTATTGGAGATACACTGATGATCAAGATAGGTGCAGTCCCTGCCTTCATAGAGCTGATGGTTTAGTGAGGAATACAGAGAAGCAGACGGGGACAATTTTAACAAGGGGAGATACATCTGATTAACTACAAGGTCCTATGTGAGCACATGAAGAAGGGCCTGGGGATCAGGGAGGGCTTCCTGGAGGTAGTGAGGTCTTAGCAGAGAGCTAAATGATGACTTAGCTAGACCATGCAGGGGAAGCTGGGTGGAGAGAGTAGAAGTTTTGAAGGCAAGAGAGAACATGGCAGCGTTTCAGTTTGATTGCTGTGGGGAGAGGCAGACAGTGATGTGGAAAAGGTAAGCAGGAGCCCAATCATATGACCGTCTCCACAACAGGTTTATATTTCCCTAACCAAGTGGATTCTCACAGCTGTTTGGAAAGGGCTCTGCGGACAATATATTGTCCTGCTTACTGGTCTCCAAGACGATTGGGCAGATTGTGCCCTGTGTGAAGGCCTGGTGTGGATAGTATTGCTAACCTTTTCCTTTGTGGATCACCCTATTCTGGCCTTCTAAGGCTGACCGCCTCTGACTGTCCCCAAACCCACCCCCTAACCCTCCCACTGCCTCTAGAAGACTCATGCTCTCTTTGGATGGCCTCATGCCTCCGGTCTGATTTTTAAACACGTTTTTCAGGTCTGGGAGGTATTGCGATGTTTGGCCTTCCATTGATGAATTCTTGGAGGTTAGTTGTATTTTCCTACCGTCAAGTTCTTGGGCAGCACTGCACTGTCCTCACAGAGCACCTTCAGGGGAGTGGGAACACAAGGGTTAAGCAATGGTGCAAGGGACTATGTGATAAAAGGCCCCCAAGAGGAGTCCAGAATGGGTCAAGTGGCTGGAACTGTGGACAGAGGCCTTTGGGGAAACAGGACGTCAGCTGGACCGTGAGGGCGGAGTGAGGTTCATCTAGGTGGTAGGGAAGGAATTTCTTTGGAAGAGTTGAGTAAACCGAACACCAGTTATGGAGAGTAAATCTTGATTTTAGTTTTGAATGAACTATGGGGTCACAAGTCTACTTTATTCTTTAACTCTCTTGATTTGCTCATGCATTATTTGGCCAGCCAGTGAGTCAAAGGGATAGGAAAATTGAATGAGGGGTCACTGGTGCCTGCTAGGCTAAGGCCTTGACAATTTTGACCATGGATCTGTCATTTTTTTCCACCTCTGCAATCTCATATACCAGTTCCAGGAACAGCAAATAGACAGAGCTGGGTCCAGATCTTATGCTCTGACTTCCCCAGGCCACCCTGGCTTAACTGCAGCTTCTCAAATCTAAGTGATGGCAAGAGATTTTATAAGCCTCCTCACTACAGCGTCTCTAATTTCAAATCTCAACGATGTTGCATTCTGAACAAGCTGGCACAACCAAATCATGGTTGTAACTGAGCAGTTTCTGAGAGCCAGAGTTTCAGAAACATGCCATGTCTACAGCAACTTGTTGAGGTGAAATGCTAAATTACAGAGAAGATACTTAGAAGGCTTATAAGATATTTGGTATTTCTGAATTGGAATAGCTGCAGTTAAGTCAGAATGCTCTGAGCTGTGTGCAGGATGTTTTGACCCTGCCATTTTGAATTATTGGACATCCTGATCTTGATGTTTTGACCCTAGGACTTTTTTTTTTTTTTTTTTTTTTTTTTTTTTTTGTTTTTTTTGACCTCTCACTGCTGTGGCCTCTCCCGTTGTGGGGCACAGGCTCCGGACGCGCAGGCTCAGCGGCCATGGCTTACGGGCCCAGCCGCTCCGCGGCATGTGGGATCTTCCCGGACCGGGGCACGAACCCGTGTCCCCTGCATCGGCAGGCGGACTCCCAACCACTGTGCCACCAGGGAAGCCTGACCCTAGGACATTCTGACTCTATATTTATGAGTAAAATATTGTGATCAGAAATCTATAACTACTGAGAAATGTTTGTCAAGAAAGAATGTCATTATGCCAATTTAATTCCCTGATATTCTATCCAACATAATAAAATTTTCCCATTTTTATATTAATTTTTTTATTGTATTGATCCTCCCCCATGGGATCAGTTCTTTTCAATGTAAGTTTTACAATGAAGATTTTGTATATCAATTTTTCTGTTGTTCATACCAAATATTACCAGTTATCACTTGTGTCACTGTGAGTCTTCTTTTGTAGCGGTTGTTTCTTCATCCAATTATCCCATTTCAGATTTTACTATTCTAAATTTTACTGTGAATACTTTGAAACATGGCAATTTAGGGACTTCCCTGGTGGTCCAGTGGTTAAGACTCCGGGCTTCCAATGCAGGGAGCGTGGGTTCCATCCCTGGTCAGGGAATTAAGATCCCACAGGCCACGCTGCGCAGCCGAAAAGTAAAACAAAAAAACAAAAAAAAAATGGCTGTTTAATTTGTATTATTTTTATGAACTACATTCAGGAATTGGTTGAAAATAATTACCAGGTTATGTTTATTTCTAAAGTATCCTTGATAAATAATCTCTAGTTCTCCTTTCCATATTTGGGATTATTCAATTATTCAGGTTAGTTCTATAGAATTGCTAGTCTAGTGACTGTGCAAAGAGCAAAAATCCCGCTTTGTCTGGGCAATGCCTGGAGTGATGACTGCCTCTTTGGTAGCAACCAGTATAGACTCAGCTGTTCCAGCTTGATCAGAAGCCTACGAGGGTCGACCACATCACCCACACATAGAGGTGCCCAACGCAAAGAGATACTTTCTTAATTTATTCCTACTATAATTTTTTTCTCTTAAAATATCCCTGGTGTGTTTTTTTGGTGGTGTTGGTGGTGGTTGTTATAAACTCAGCCTCTTGCAACTGATTTAACTTGATGGAAAAAAAAAAGTCCCGTTCATCCTTGCTCTGTCCTTGACTTACATTCATCTTTCAACCTGGCAAGCAATTTGTGGTGAATAAGCATCATTAGAAAAAAAAGATAACATCCACTCTTATTATTTCTTTACAAGCAAGAAGCAGACTCCAGATGTTCTTAGTTTGGTTTTGGCTGGGAGCATTGAGGTGACAAGTATTTTTTCATGAGATCTTATGTAGTGGTCAGTTTTGTGCACTGTTGGAATAACCTCTTTGTGATCAGCTACTGCACTAACTAGGGATGAGGTCATTAAGTCATTTTACTACCAGGCTGGATTCTCTAACAAATAGCCCAAGAAAGCAAGAAGAGCGGAAACAGCATGAAACAAGCAATCACTGGCATAATACCTTTTATACCAGAGTCTTAAATAATTCCCCAGAATGCGCATTTTGTTTAATAATTAGAGCCACATTTTGTGCTCCCATCAGAGTGACCCAGTTAAGAATACATTCAGCTACTTATCCAGAAATTCTTTTTTTTTTTAAACAAATTTACTTATTTGTTTATTTATTTTTGGCTGTGTTGGGTCTTTGTTGCTGCGCGCAGGCTTTCTCTAGTTGCAGTGAGCAGGGACTACCCTTCGTTGCGGTGCACAGGCTTCTCATTGTGGTGGTTTCTCTTGTTGCGGAGCACAGGCTTTAGGCGCACGGGCTTCAGTAGTTGTGGCTTGTGGGCTCTAGAGCGCAGGCTCAGTAGTTGTGGCGCACGGGCTTAGTTGCTCTGCAGCATGTGGGATCTTCCTGGACCAGGGCTCAAACCCATGTCCCCTGCATAGGCAGGCAGATTCTTAACCACTGCGCCACCAGGGAAGCCCTATCCAGAAATTCTAATCAAAGAAAATATTTTATTGTTTATTTGGAAGCAGCATGCTATGAAGATAGCATACTTTGTATTAGCTCACTTTTAAAAAAATTAAACATGAACAAAGGACAAAGGGAAAAAAATAATTGAAAACAGACTGTGGTTGATACAAGCTTCGTGAGAAAGGATCACAGTGGAGCTTAAAACCTTAGAGAAGTTGGTTATCCATGGTGGAAAAGAGGACCTCGGTGTCTGATGTCACCATTTCCCATCGCTTTTGCTTGTAAATGCAGGTGGCAAACAATAAGCGTTAGACAACTGAGTTGTTGGATTGATGTTTAGGTCACAGCTTCCCTCGCAAGTAAAGGTCATTTCCTATAACCTAGATTTTAATGCTGCCCAAATGCAGTTTCCACCCCCAGGCCCCAAGCACTGTATTAGAACAGGGCAGCTACTCCGGGAATATACGCATGTACTTGAAGACCGGTTTCTATTAAAAGAGACCTCCCTCCAAGCCCCCTGCCATCCCCAGAATTGCCAGTGTGTCATGTGGATTTCTACAGAGCATTGAGAATCCTATCCAGGCCAAAGGACACTTGATATTCAGCGTTAGTGAATGTTGAACAGAATCTCAGAAGGTACTGAAAGTAACACTTATTCATTTGACATATAATATGTTCGTTGCCACCTGACCCTTTGATTTGTAAAAATATGAATTTCCCAAGCTGGATCCCACAATTCCTGTCCTAAACTGCAGGAAGTTTCCGCCCACCCGTACCATTCGCCTCTTTACCCCCAGCTGCTTACAGCTTTCTTGCTATAAGGATGGTATTTACTGTCTTGCTCTAACAGGCTGTTGGTAATTTTAAATTTCTCTGGCTTTTAGCTTGTGATGTTATCATCCCGTTCTGTGTCTGTTTTCTTTTAGATTTTAGAGTGCTGACATCCCAAGAGGACTTCATGGACCGTTGTTTTCCCCTCTTTGCTCCTCCTTTGGCAAAATATAGAAAATGATATTCAAGGGCAGTCCCTGGGAACTTTGGGAAAGAAATAACCACAAATCTCCTAGGCAATTGAGATCTTTGGTTTCTGGTGAGTCTTAAGGTATGATATATGGCATCATAATCAACATTAAGTTCAATAACCTTTTTTATTGCCTAAAAATGACAAGTCAAATCAAGTCGGCTCTGACCGTGATAAAAACCCAAATATCTTACTAAAATAAATACTAACCAGCAGTGTGGGGATTGGGTAAGGCAAGTGAGGCACTTGCCTTGGGCACAAAATTTAAGGGGGCATTAAAAAAAAAACCACCTCAGTAATCGAGATAAATGATATTTTAATGCAATATTTTTAAAAGAGAAAATTAATGCAAAAATTACATGATGAAAAAATATCAAAATTCTAAATACAGGATCAGTAACAGTGCCTTGCCAAGCCATATGGGAGCCTTAGACAAAAGGAAAAATCAGTAATGCTTACTCTGTCTTTATGTAGAATTTCGATTCTTTATCACAGTTATTTCGCATTAATTTTCATTTATTTAAATATTACACTAGAATATTATTTATCTTGATTACTGAGCTTTTTGATTCCTCCCTTAAATTTTGCGCCCAAGATGAGTGCCCCATTTAAGATAAGTTCTTCCATTTAACCTCACCCTAGTCTAGGCCCTGCTAACTAGAACAGCAATGGCTAGGGTAATAAAATGGTATATTCCCTCCTCTAAAGATGTTAATTCAGGGAAATAAAATATGTTTGGTTATATTTAAGTCTAGTTACTTGCACTGGACAACCAACACCCATCATCTGGCCCTGTTCTGGCTATAGTCTCACTTAGAAGGTATTTCCCAAATCCAAAAAATGGAAAGGTTGTCTTTTTGTTAATTCTTTTGGAAGGCAGCACATTAGCAAAATCCGTTACATTAAAAAAAAAATGTGCTAGGAAAAGCTCAACCAGTTCAATTCATCAAAAGTTTCTCCTTCCACGGAAGTTTCCTCTGGGTCTTTCTCTGTTGGTCTTGGCAGGAGAGGGCCTGTGGGGTTTTCTCCGGTGTTCCACCCTTGTCCATCCCCCTTCGCTGACTTTGCTTTCCTCTTCATTGGCTCGTGAGTCGGTGTCTGTGCGCAAAGGCATCCCTGGGATGGTCCTGGGTTGATGGGAGGCATTTGGGCTTCTCTTAAAGGCGGGTGACTGATGAGTGTTGAGTGCTGACTGAGAAACCCTGCAGAATTTGCCAGAGTATCTTTCTCTTGAAGGAGTGGAATGCTGACTTTTTCCACTGAATCTTCCTCTGAGAGAAGAATTGAGCGATAGGCTAGCATGGTTGTGTTTGTTCCTGCTTCTATCTGAGTATCGACCCCTCTCTAAAGAGCTGTCAGTATTAAGACTGGAAAAGTCACTATCCCTGGAGTTGAGATGCAGAGAAAAGAAGTCTTTGGTCAGTCCATACTGAGTAGGAGAGGAGCTTCTGGACTGGCTTATAGGTGTTATCTGTTGGTACTTAATGGGCACCTGGGTCCGTCTCACAGCAGCCGCATAGGAGTCCTGGTCATTGAGATAGGGGAAGAATTGTGACCCCAGGACGCGGTTGCTCTGGGAGCGCTGTGAGGAGGTGTTGGATGCAATCTGCCGCATCCTCAGAGTATCCAGCCACTGGCAATCAGCACCTGTGGAAGAAATGGAAATGAACATCTTTGAAGCTACAGTAAATCTGCATGCCTAATTCACAAGGCTGTCTCAGGATACTTCAAGCCTAGTTGGGAAGCTCAAAGTTTTACCGTTCATAGACATTCTAGGCTAGTTATAAGGACATTTCCTTTATTATTATAAATACTTAAAAAAAATAAGGACATTTATACTTACTGAATTTATGCTACATGCTTGGCACTGTTCCAAAGGCTTTTTGTATAGTATCTCATTTAACCCTTCAAAAATCTTCTCAGGTCAACACTAATAATATCATTCTAGAATTGAGGAGACCAAAGCTTGAGAGGTGAAGTCACTGGACCCATGGTCACTCAGTTAATAATCTCAGGTCCTTCTGCATCTAAATCCCATCTTGTTCCCACTTAGCCATGTTGTCATTTCTAGAAATTGCTGTTTCAGTGTCTTTGGATGGCAGAGGTATGTTTAGTAAACAAAAGGCTTTTTGCCAACCAGCACTTTTAAATCCTCAAGAACCCTAAATGCAGATAAAATAAATTGGGTTCTAATAGTTGAAACAGCTAAACATTGTTTGGGAGAAAGACTGTTCATATCTCCAGAGGAGAGATTCCTGAGGTTCAGGGATAAGAAATGTTTTCTGCATGAAAAATGAAGCTTCATGGCAAACAGGAAGAAGTTATGGTAAAAGAAAATGGTTAATTAACAAGAGCCATTTAGTAAGCTATATTTCAGTGAATAAGCAACTTCCTCACACTTAAGATCTCTGTCTTCCCAAGGGCCTGAGTTGCCCTCATTCTTGAGTTCCCTGGTGTCCTCACTGAGCTACTCTGGCCGTGCTTGTGCCGATGGAGCTTCTGGAGAGGAACAGAGCATGCTCACCTCCCTCTGCCAGCAAGCAGCCTCCCTCACTGCTCTGCACAGGTGACTCACGCCTCTCAGGTGAGGGACGCATCCAGATACAGGCGACCTCCTGTGTTCAGACACTCCTCACAGGCTTCATTCAACCACCACACGCCTTCTTCCCTTCATTTGGACTTCTCTGAAATCCTAGCTTCCAACAGAACCCTGATTTTGTTCAGTGTCCAACCCCCTCCATGGAGCCATGTGCATGGGGGAAGCTGACCACATCTGGCTCTAAGGCAGACTTTGATTAGTCCAAGCCAGACATAGCGATGCCATGGTCGGGAATGCACAAGGTGCTCAGCTCTGGCCATAGCAACCTGAAAGGTAGTCTGCAGGGGGTTTCTAAGCAAGTCTTTCTTACTCCAAAACATGAGAACAGGGAAGGGATTGACCTCTCATTTCCTGTGGGCCTTATCATATTTTTTTTTTTTACATCTTTATTGGAGTATAATTGCTTTACAATGGTGTGCTAGTTTCTGCTTTATAACAAAGTGAATCAGTTATACATATACACATATATCTCTTCCCTCTTGCATTTCCCTCCCTCCCACCCTCCCTATCCCACACCTCTAGCTGGTCACAAAGCACCGAGCTGATCTCCCTGTGCTATGTGGCTGCTTCCCACTAGCTATCTATTTTACGTTTGGTAGTGTGTATATGTCCATGCCACTCTCTCGCTTTGTCACAGTTTACACTTCCCCCTCCCCATAACCTCAAGTCCATTCTCTAGTAAGTCTGTGTCTTTATTCCTGTCTTACCCCTAGGTTCTTCATGACATTTTTTTCCCCTAAATTCCATATATATGTGTTAGCATATGGTATTTGTCTTTCTGATTTACTTCACTCTGTATGACAGACTCTAGGTCCATCCACCTCATTACAAATAGCTCAATTTCGTTTCTTTTTATGGCTGAGTAATATTCCATTGTATATATGTGCCACATCTTCTTTATCCATTCATCCGATGATGGACACTTAGGTTGTTTCCATCTCCTGGCTATTGTAAATAGAGCTGCAACGAACATTGTGGTACATGACTCTTTTTGAATTATGGTTTTCTCAGGGTATGTGCCCAGTAGTGGGATTGCTGGGTCATACGGTAGTTCTATTTGTAGTTTTTTAAGGAACCTCCATACTGTTCTCCATAGTGGCTGTACCAATTCACATTCCCACCAGCAGTGCAAGGGGGTTCCCTTTTCTCCACACCCTCTCCAGCATTTATTGTTTCTAAATTTTTTGATGATGGCCATGCTGACTGGTGTGAGATGATATCTCATTGTAGTTTTGATTTGCATTTCTCTAATGATTAATGATGTTGAGCATTCTTTCGTGTGTTTGTTGGCCGTCTGTATATCTTCTTTGGAGAAATGTCTATTTAGGTCTTCTGCCCATTTTTGGATTGGGTTTTTTGTTGTTTTGTTATTGAGCTGCATGAGCTGCTTGTAAATTTCGGAGATTAATCCTTTGTCAGTTGCTTCATTGGCAAATATTTTCTCCCATTCTGAGGGTTGTCTTTTGGTCTTGTTTATGGTTTCCTTTACTGTGCAAAAGCTTTGAAGTTTCATTAGGTCCCATTTGTTTATTTTTGTTTTTATTTCCATTTCTCTAAGAGGTGGGTCAAAAAGGACCTTGCTGTGATTTATGTCATAGAGTGTTCTGCCTATGTTTTCCTCTAAGAGTTTGATAGTTTCTGGCCTTACATTTAGGTCTTTAATCCATTTTGAGCTTATTTTTGTGTATGGTGTTAGGGAGTGATCTAATCTCATACTTTTACATGTACCTGTCCAGTTTTCCCAGCACCACTTACTGAAGAGGCTGTCCTTTCTCCACTGTACATTCCTGCCTCCTTTATCAAAGATAAGGTGACCATATGTGCATGGTTTTATCTCTGGGCTTTCTATCCTGTTGCATTGATCTATATTTCTGTTTTTGTGCCAGTACCATACTGTCTTGATTACTGTAGCTTTGTAGTATAGTCTGAAGTCAGGGAGCCTGATTCCTCCAGCTCCGTTTTTCGTTCTCAAGATTGCTTTGGCTATTAGGGGTCTTTTGTGTTTGCATACAAATTGTGAAATTTTTTGTTCTAGTTCTGTGAAAAATGCCAGTGGTAGTTTGATAGGGATTGCATTGAATCTGTAGATTGCTTTGGGTAGTAGAGTCATTTTCACAATGTTGATTCTTCCAATCCAAGAACATGGTATATCTCTCCATCTATTTGTATCATCTTTAATTTCTTTCATCAGTGTCTTATAATTTTCTGCATACAGGTCTTTTGCCTCCTTAGGTAGGTTTATTCCTAGATATTTCATTCTTTTTGTTGCAATGGTAAATGGGATTGTTTTCTTGATTTCACTTTCAGATTTTTCATCATTAGTGTATAGGAATGCCAGAGATTTCTGTGCATTAATTTTGTATCCTGCTACTTTACCAAATTCATTGATTAGCTCTAGTAGTTTTCTGGTAGCATCTTTAGGATTCTCTATGTATAGTATCATGTCATCTGCAAACAGTGACAGCTTTACTTCTTCTTTTCCGATTTGGATTCCTTTTGTTTCCTTTTCTTCTCTGATTGCTGTGGCTAAAACTTCCAAAACTATGTTGAATAAGAGTGGTGAGAGTGGGCAACCTTGTCTTGTTCCTGATCTTAGTGGAAATGCTTTCAGTTTTTCACCATTGAGGACGATGTTGGCTGTGGGTTTGTCATATATGGCCTTTCTTATGTTGAGGAAAGTTCCCTCTATGCCTACTTTCTGCAGGGTTTTTATCAGAAATGGGTGTTGAATTTTGTCAAAAGCTTTCTCTGCATCTATTGAGATGATCATATGGTTTTTCTCCTTCAATTTGTTAATATGGTGTATCATGTTGATTGATTTGCGTATATTGAAGAATCCTTGCATTCCTGGAATAAACCCCACTTGATCATGGTGTATGATCCTTTTAATGTGCTGTTGGATTCTGTTTGCTAGTATTTTGTTGAGGATTTTTGCATCTATGTTCATTAGTGATATTGGCCTGTAGTTTTCTTTCCTTGTGACATCCTTGTCTGGTTTTGGTATCAGGGTGATGGTGGCCTCGTAGAACGAGTTTGGGAGTGTTCCTCCCTCTGCTATATTTTGGAAGAAGGATAGGTGTTAGCTCTTCTCTAAATGTTTGATAGAATTCGCCTGTGAAACCATCTGGTCCTGGGCTTTTGTTTGTTGGAAGATTTTTTTTTTTTTTTTCGGTACGCGGGCCTCTCACTGTTGTGGCCTCTCCTGTTGTGGAGCACAGGCTCTGGACGCGCAGGCTCAGTGGCCATGACTCACGGGCCCAGCCGCTCTGTGGCATCTTCCTGGACCGGGGTGCGAACCCACGTCTCCTGCATCGGCAGGCGGACTCTCGACCACTGCGCCACCAGGGAAGCCCTGTTGGAAGAATTTTAATCACAGTTTCAATTTCAGTGCTTGTGATTGTTCTGTTCATATTTTCTATTTCTTCCTGATTCAGTCTTCCAGGTTGTGCTTTTCTAAGAATTTGTCCGTTTCTTCCTGTTGTCCATTTTATTGGCATAGAGTTGCTTGTAGTAATCTCTCATGATCTTTTGTATTTCTGCAGTGTCAGTTGTTACTTCTTCTTTTTCATTTCTAATTCTATTGAGTTGAGTCTTCTCCCTTTTTTTCTTGATGAGTCTGGCTAATGGTTTATCAATTTTGTTTATCTTCTCAAAGAACCAGCTTTTAGTTTTATTGATCTTTGCTATCGTTTTCTTCATTTCTTTTTCATTTATTTCTGATCTGATCTTTATGATTTCTTTCCTTCTGCTAACTTTGGAGTTTTTTTTGTTCTTCTTTCTCTAAGTGCTTTAGGTGCAAGGTTAAGGTGTTTATTCAAGATGTTTACTGTTTCTTAAGGTAAGATTGTATTGCTATAAACTGCCCTTTTAGAACTGCTTTTGCTGCATCCCATAGGTTTTGGGTCGTCCTGTTTCCATTGTCATTTGTTTCTAGGTATTTTTTTATTTCCCCTTTGATTTCTTCAGTGATCACTTCGTTATTAAGTAGTGTATTGTTTAGCCTCCATGTGTTTGTATTTTTTACAGATCTTTTCCTGTAATTGATATCTAGTCTCATGGCATTGTGGTTAGAAAAGATACATGATACAATTTCAATTTTCTTAAATTTACCAAGGCTTGATTTGTGACCCAATATATGATCTATCCTGGAGAATGTTCCATGAGCACTTGAGAAAAATGTGTATTCTGTTGTTTTTGGATGGAATGGCCTATAAATATCAATTAAAAGTCCATCTTGTTTAATGTATCATTTAAAGGTTGTGTTTCCTTATTTATTTTCATTTTGGATGATCTGTCCATTGGTGAAAGTGGGGTGTTAAAGTCCCCTACTATGAACGTGTTACTGTCGATTTCCCCTTTTATGGCTGTTAGTATTTGTCTTATGTATTGAGGTGCTCCTATGTTGGGTGCATAAATATTTACAATTGTTATATCTTCTTCTTGGATCGATCCCTTGATCATTATGTAGTGTCCTTCTCTGTCTCTTCTATTAGTCTTTATTTTAAAGTCTATTTTGTCTGATACGAGAATTGCTACTCCAGCTTTCTTTTGGTTTCCATTTGCATGGAATATCTTTTTCCATCTTCTCACTTTCAGTCTGTATGTGTCTCTAGGTCTGAAGTGGGTTTCTTTTAGACAGCATATATATGGGTCTTGTATTTGTATCCATTCAGCCTTATCATATCTTTATGTGATGACTGTGAACACGAGAGGAGCTAGGCTGAGGGCAAAGGCAACATATTGAGGATGGCAGAGTGGAATGAAGGAAAGGTTCATTTCTCATCCTTAACATGGTTGAGCAGCTTATCTTACTGCACCTGGAGCCCGGCCTACCTCTGGACTTCTTGTTATGGAAGACAATAAATTTTATTATAGTTAAAACCTGTGTTGTTGGGTTTAGAGTACTGCCCAGGATCCTGGGCCCCGTGGCTGATGGGCATTTAAAAACACCTAGTCTGGGACTTCCCTGGTGGTGCAGTGGTTAAGAATCTGCCTGCCAGTGCAGGGGACACAGGTTCGAGCCCTGGTCCAGAAAGATCCCACATGCTGCGGAGCAACTAAGGCCGTGCACCACAACTACTGAGGCTGCACTCTAGAGCCCATGAGCCACAACTACTGAGCCCGCATGCCTAGAGCCTGTGCTCCGCAACAAAAGAAGCCACCGCAATGAGAAACCCACACACCAAAATGAAGAGTAGCCCCCGCTCACCGCAACTAGAGAAAGCCGGGGCGTAGCAACGTAGACCCAATGCAGCCAAAAATAAATAAAATAAATTAATTTAAAAACAACAACAAAAGACACACCTGGTCTCCTTGGCAAGCGAGTCCTTATAGTAGAGGACACAGAAGCTAGGCTCTCATAACTCAGGGACACTAGCCATCAGGGTACTTTGTTTCCATGCCACCAAAGAACCTTCTGTTATGGCTTCTCAGGTATATTTTCTTATTGGGAAGAAGAGGCACTGATAAGAAAACATGTGTTTCTGGTTCGTTGGGGAGGTATGTTTCTCACGGTGAAAAGTGATTTGCATGGGGTTTTATGTATCCATCTCCTGCATGTTTGTTAGTCTGACTCTGGGTTGTATTAGAGTTTCTGGACCTGCAAAGGTGAAGGTCAGAACTTCTTCCCTGAAGCTAGCAAATAATGACCAGTTCAACAGCAAGTCAGCCTGCTTTCCTCTGTTATTTCTAAATGGTTTCTTTATAGTGTCTGTAATTACTGTCCCCACTACCCAGCATATGTATTTCATGTTTTCTCTTTCTTTATCCTCCCTTCTTTCCTTCCTTCCTTCCTTTTATTTTCCCCCTCACTCCCTTCCCCTATCATTCTTTTTGTTTTTTTTTGTCATTTTTTGGCCGCACTGCACAGCACGTGGGATCTTAATTCCCTGACCAGGGATCAAACCTACATCCCCTGTAGTGGAAGCTCGAAGCCTTAACCATTGGACTGCCAGGAAAGTCCCACCCCTATCATTCTTATGCTTTGATGGATCCATGGTGCTCCGGACTCAAGAGGTCGCCCCAGTGATAGCAGTGATTCTACAGGAAGGTTTGTTGGACATGGAAGATGATTCTTATCTTTATCTACAATTTTGGAAACTAAATATATATGTGTATAAATATACATACATAGTTTTATTTACCAATATAAAATAATCACTAATTTTCATCTTTTATGGTAGTTATCCAAATATTATACTTTATTATAATATGTCCCTATTTCCAAGCCCATAAATACTACTTTCCATATAATTTGTGTATAAAACCCAATATTCTAAAAAAAGAAGAAGGAAGTATTATATTAGAAATCTATGTCAATTCACAGACTGGCGCTTATCCCTGGTCTGAGGATTTGACATTTCCGCTTTGGAACATGTCTAGTGCACAGCTGACTTACTTGAGTCAGACCTGCTTCCACGGTTGCCCTCTGAGTTGGGGAATAACGTCTGGATGGCAAGCTGGACAGCTTTCACTTCATCCTGAGGTTTCGTTCTACTCCACTGAATTGAATGGACGTGCTTAGTGCTTTTTGGAGCTCTAACATCGCTCTGTACAAAAAAAATAGGGAGAGAAACCCACAACCAAATATACTCACGTTTATAAAATAGGAAGGAAGGAAAACCAGGTTATCATATCCCTTCAGTGTAACTCCTTAGAACACTATCATAATGCATTAGGTAATATATTTGCACGGTTTGCCTGAATATGGTAAATCTGATTAAAAGAAAAATTTTAACTACTTTATTCCTTAGTGGACTATAGTAGTTAAAAAGGTGGTTGTCTTCTCTAAGAACTTGTCAAAAAAAAAAAAAAAAAAGAATTTGTTAGTTGGCAAGTCTCAACTTACCTCTTCGTTTAATAAGTAATGATAAACATAACAATGTCTTTTGTTTATAGTAGTTGAACTCAGATATTTTGTTGAATAAATAAAAATCTGACCACTATTTTGCCCAGGACTGCCTGTGATCATCCTGGGTAACTGGGTGAGTGTGGGTAGGTCGGTGGGACTAATTACCCCCATGGGAGGGTACAGGGTAACAAATGCAAAAGTGAGGCAGGATAGAGAATTAAGAATAAGGATTAGAAAAAGGAGAGGACACCGGATCAAGACACACCACTTTCTTTGTCCTGTGCTCCCCTTCATCACCAGGTGTCACAAATCAGACTAGATTGAAGAGCCTCAGGATTTGATACGGTTATGAAAATACATTTTTTAAAAAATCCTGAAGTGACTGTTACAGACACAAGTAGCGTATCATCATGGAGCCTGAGAAGGAGGAAGAAGGAGAGGAGGAAGAGGCAGGAGAGAGAGAAAGAGAAGGAAAAACTTGGTGAGGTGTATCTCCAGAACTAAGGCAGGTAGAGATGAAACTTGGCTGTTACGACTATCCAGTTACTCAAAGAGGGCTTTTCCTTAGTAGTGGGGGGGGGGGGCTGGTCAACAGGCTCTAGAATAATCCAGATTCCAAGTTCCTCAAGACCAGTCAACTTCTTTTATTTAGGTTCTGTGCCCTGCAGGCAACGCTTTGACAATTAATGCTCTTTCTCAGGTGCCTCATCCCTGACAGGCAGTGCAGCCTGGCTGATGAGGATAAATCATTGCTGTTGTCCTAATTAGCTTCCAGCATCGGGTCACCCTGGATAAGCGGACTGTCCAGGGTTTGGATTTCTCACGTTAAAAAGCCACACCCTGGCAGCTCAGAAGACCATCCCAGTGCAGCAGCGCACAAAGTCCCACTCCAGGCTGACTTCCCTCACCTTACTGCTAGGAAGGGAACAGATAGAACAGGAAGAGTGGAAACTGTATTCACAGTCAGAGGACCTGGGTGTGACTCCACTGACTCTCATTGACTACCCCAAACCTTGGGACCGCCTTTCATCTCTCTGAGCCAGTTTTCCCTAGCTGCCAGGTGAAGACAATGCTCCCTATTTTTGACTATTTGCACATGGTTAATGAGATAACACAGGTGTAAACTCCTCTTACAGTGCCTAGGTCATGGCAAATACTTATTAAATGTTTCTTGGGTGAAAAAATGAGTGAATGAATGAGGGCATGTCCTATTAAGGGTAGCTGCATACTAATATCTCCATGGGTGCCAAGACTCTGCTATAACTGTTTCCCTCCACCCCGTTCCCCCAGGGTTTCTCTACCTCGTGAAGCAGATTTTCCCACCACCATGAAGACCTTGCTGATTTTTAAAACATAATTAGATCATTTAAAGCAGCAGACTACTTAAAACACCCACTGGCTTCCCATGGTGCTTACAGTAAATCCAAACTCTTCACTGCGGCTCTGGAGGCTCTAGGCTCGGCCCCGCCCACCTCTCTAGCCTTGTCACGCCCTCTGTGTTTCAGGAACTTGCACTTGCCCTTCCTCTGCTGTTCCTTGTCGCCTCCCCCTCAGCGAAGGAGCCTTCCCTCACCATCCAATCTAATGCCCCGTGTCTCACTATTTTCTGGTTCTCACTTATCACTCTGAGATTACTTATTTATCATCTATTTCCCCCACTGGAGTACACATAAGCCTCGAGAGAGTAGAGATTTAGTCTATCCTAATCACGGAACGTTACTCGTTGGTAGGTATTTGCTCAATATATGAATTTTAATTTTAATAGCACATTTTTCTAAAGTATACGTTTTTCTATTTTTCCATATATAAAATATGTGGAGTCTGGTTTTGATAGTAGACCCCCCTTATGGTAGTAGAAGTTGCACTCTGTGAAGAATTGCTGATCTACCTTCACCCCTAGACTCTAAGCACCAAGAAGGCAGAGCTCTGTTTTGGTCCCTGTTCCGTATCCCCAGTACCTCACACGTGCATACGTGGTATGCAGAAGGTGCTCAATCATTAACTGATGAATGAATGAATTACTACCTCAATCTCTAGGCAAGTGTATCCCATTCTCAATCCTTCCCAACACTTCGTTAGAATAATTGTATTGATCTTCCCATACTCATGTTGGTTAAGTAGTTTCTCTTCCAATAAGTTTTAAGAACTCTGAGGGAGCAAATAAATCCCTACGGAGAAACTGATGGTGAAGCCAACAGGTGCCCACCCCCTGCCAAGCTTACCTCATATGTGACTGTGCATTCTACAGTCTGATTTTCCATTATTCCTATAATCCACTTCTCCATTACAAACGGGGGCTGAAAAAAACAAAAGTTAGGATGGGTGTAGTGCCATCGTACAGCCTGCCCTGCTACAGGCGCAGGTTTCTTGGAGGCCGGCTGTGCCGTACACAGCTGGCAAATAGGGCGTGATTCAGGTTATCATGAAAGCCATGATGTCAGATTATTAGGAAACTCATGTTGGTTCACATGTGATTACTCACAACGTGCTAATGTCTAATGTTTGGGGGTTTGGTTTCATAACATATCCTTTCCTATGTTTGTGAACAGCTAATCTTGTCTCCCACAATCTTCTCTTTTCTGATACATCACTCAATCCAATCATTAGGTCATTAACTCAAGCTAATGTCTGGAAGCCTCAGTGGAAAGTTTTCTCACCATTAAGAGAAAGCCTTAACAACCTTAGAAGACCCTAAAGTGACTTTTTTGGGTGCAAGCAGTGGCTGGTTTAGCGGCTTCATAACCACCCTGCTATCAGGCTACCCGGCAATGCTGCAGGTGCAAATGAAACTGGGAAGACATTTCTCCACTATATTAAAATAAATGAGTAATAAAGAAGCCTATGCCTTGGATCCTATTTTAAGTTTGATGAAAATGGTCTTTATTAGAAGTGAATCTCCACTCTCTTCCCACCCCCCAACCCATCATTCCAGGTTTAAGGCTGCAAATGACTGGCCATGAGATAGGCACAAAGCAAATGTGGTAGAGATTTAACTGGGCTTTTTTTTTTTATCAAGAGAAAAACAAAGAGATTTTTATTAACATGTATACCTCATGTATACACAGGAGCTACCCAGGGAAAAATGAGTAACTCAAAGAATTCAGGATTAAATGCCATCTTTATAGAGAAAGGGGAAGAGGGGGATGTAGGCCTCTCAGAGGAGAGTAAATGATTTTTAGGAAAGATGAATGGGCCCTCAGAGGGACAGACGGAAGGTTTGTGACAAAGTTTGTCTGGGTATGGAGTCAACTTCTAGTCTCTCCTGTGACAAGAATCAATCTTCTCTGTTTTTTTTTTTCCTTCCTTAATGAGGATTTTTATTATTTCTGTTGATGTTAAAAAGTTCTACAGATTTTGAACGGCCCGCCCCAATACTGTTTTTCCCATAAGCCCCGTTAACGTTGCTGCATGATTTTGCAGAAGATATGGTTCCTCTAGAATGTCTATATGGCCTTAGAGCAGAAGCACCTGTATTGTTTTATAACTCCACCCCGTTCTTTTTGTTCTGAGTGACTTCCTTCCGTTATCAGGCAATGACTTGCTTCTCAGTGACACTGAAGCCACTAACAACTGGCGGCAACCACAGATGGCACAGGTGGGGAGGAAAGAGAAAGTGTGTGTCCAGTCTCCAAGATACCAAAACACAGTCTGTCCCAACAGAATAAGGGAAAGGTGAAAGCAGATCACAACCTTTGTGATAAATAACATAACTTCCAGTTACTCAGGGCAATCCGACAAGGAATATGCATATGCTTCTAAATTAAAAGGACTTGGGTGGTTAGCAACCTCATGCCTGGGAAGCGAACACATTCGCAAGTCTAATGCTGTGGCTTTGAAGACTCTTTGCACTTCCCCACTTGTGTTTGTACCATGGCTCTTTGCTGCCAGCCCCATTTTCCTCACTGAAACCAAATACACAGTCACGAGTGTACTAGAGTTAATGGCTATGTGACGTTTAGGGTGACTGTCCTATTGACATCATGGTTATTCACCTGAGTTGCTGACCTTCTACAATTGAAGTCTTATATGTATTTTTTCAGTATTATTGACAGATTTGAATTTTTCCATGTTGAAGAGAAGCTAAGCATTTCTCTAAGACTGTCTTCAGTGTTTTAATGGGCGTGCTTGTACCATTGACCCCAAAGTAGTAAGATGCTCTCTGGCCACTCCAGGAATTCATAGGTGTGAACCCAAGGAAGCCATGAAGACTTCAACATGTGCCTCATGAATAATCTCATCTCAGTTCTTCAAGAAATTCACCACCACCAAGAAAGCCTTTCTACTGACAAGTTTTTAAAAGTTGAAAATGACCCCAAATTCGAGGTAAACACTTACATCATTAGCATTTTCTTTCCTTTAATAAATGACGGAATACACATAAAGAAATGTAGAAGAAAGTTAAAAAAAATTAAACAACACTTTTTTGTAGTACTTTTTAGTTCACATGGCGTAAGTGGAATTTTAACAAAAAACTATTATGATCTCAATCTGCTAAATACAATGTACCTTTCAACAGCCAGCTTGAGGCTGAGCTGGTATGAGCATCACAGGCACAAAAGCACGCTGCTGCGGTATTTTAATGTCTTTGTTTGATATCTGTGAATTCAAAAAAGCTTTTAAGCCGTAAATAGAACTCTACCTTTGTCATCTTTAAAATCTCTGCATCAGGTAGGTTAGTGTTGAATGTCACATCTTTGATGTAGGTTATTGCAATTTCATCCCCATCCATTTCCATATACATTTTCCACTTACAATCCTGGAATTAAAAGAAAAATTACAGAATTTGAGAAAGTAAAACCATTTTTTTTTTGTCTCAATGTTTTATAACACATGGCGTATTCTAAATGAAGTATTACTGGAGTGTTTTTTTTTTCTTTATCAATAAAAGGACATGAAATTTGATCTCTTTCTATATCTAAATAATCCCCAGGTGGGGCAGTCTTGAGACACCATTTATCAATCTAAATGTTCTATTATAGGAGTTGCAAACTCCACATCCTAAATGAGCAAGGTAGATAAAAATGAATAAAGCCAGGCAGTTTCATTACAGAGCCTTAAACTGTAATATTTCAAAATGGACCCACTTAATTTACATATTAAACATTGTAGGGATATTTTTCCATTGACCCAAAGAAATGTGGTCTTCCCACTTTTTTTGAAATATAAGTCCCTCTGGATCTACCTTTCACTTTTCCAGTGTTGGTAATGACATGGGTTCAAGAAATAGCTCCCTTTCTTCTTAACAGGAAATGTGAGGATGTACGGCAATGCATAACTGGCCCAAGCATTGGGGGGGTGGGGGGGGTCAGGGGAAGGGTTAAGGGACTCTTGGGATCTAAAGGGCAACTGCCCTAAAGGGACAGCCACCACTCAGCTTCTGTTGATTGCTCCCATGTGGGAATATGAGTCTAGTCTTGCTAGGTCCTTTAATGATTTATGAAAAGTTGGATATCTGATTCTTGTATGAAACCTCTTGATTTTTTAAATGATGGTATGTTAATTAAATTTTCAGTAAAACCACGATGTAATGAAAGAGTGCTCTACACCATTAGTCACCAGGGAAATGTAAATGAAAACCACAATGAGATACCACTATATACATACCAGGTGGCTAAGACTGATAACATCAAATGTTGGCTGTGATTTGGAGCTACTGGGTTGTTGGTTGGAGTGTAAACGGTAAAATCACTTTGGGAAAAGTTTTGGCAATTTATTATAAAACCAAACATATATGTACTCTATGACACAGAAATTCTACTCCTAAGTATTTACCCAAGTAAAATGAAAACAGACTTGTACAGTATTCTTCTGAGCAGCTTTGTCATAATAGCTAAAAAACTGGAAACAGGCCAAGTGTTGACCAACACTTTCATAGAATGGAATATACTCAGCAATACAAAGGAACTAATTATTGATGCATGCAACAACATGGATAAATCGCAAAAGCATTATAGCAAGTGAAATTTTGTATAAAAAGAACAAACTAAGGCTTCCATTTACATGAATTTCTAGAACAGACAAAACCAATCTACAGTGGAAAATATTCAGAAAAGTGGTTGCTTCTGCAGATGGGGACTGACCGGGAAGGGGCATGAGGGGACTTTCTGGAAATGCTAATGCTCTATAGATAGTGGTTTGGGTTATATAGGTATATGCATTTGTTAAAACACAGCAAATGTATACTTCAGATATGTGCATTTCTTACTGAACTCTAGTATATTGAAGTATTTAGGAGGAAGTGTACTCGTATCTGCAAATTACTTTGAAATGCATCCAAAAATAAAGATTGATAGATGGTTAAGAAGATAGAGGGAGGGACAGATATGTAATAAAGTAAGTAGATCCTGATGCTTGAATCTAGGAGTTGAGTATACAAGAATTCCTATAAAATTTTTTCAACTTTGCTGAAAAATTTATATGAAAAATTTAATAATAAAAATGTTGGGGTATAAACACTGTGTATGCAATTAAAAGGAAAAAGAGACCCATGTCTGTGCACCAAATTTGACCCCTGGATCATAAATTCATCTTCTTTCTTATATTATTTGAAGAATGAAGGATTCTGAGAGATTAAGGATAAAGCACTGACCACCTTCCATGCTGAAACCAGAACAGGCTCTCACACAAGCAGACCTGGAATGTTCCCTGAGCAAGCTCGGACACAATTATTATGGAAAAACGCTAACAAAGGGGCTGCGGAAAACCTGTTGGCTTCAATAGGAAGCTGGGGGCGCCCCATGTTTTAGGAAAGCTTCTGGACGAATTGCAGAACCAAGAAGGGCCCAGGCCTGAAGGGAGGGCCCCTCTTTGCCCAGCCACGTTCACAAGATGGACAGCCAATTAGTGAAGGAAAAGGTCTATTCAATAACGTGAAAAACTAGCTCTTGGCTAACACAAGTCAAATTAGTCGCTCAGAATTGACAAATCTCTCAGTATTTCTTTGTTTTGCAGCCACTGCTACCCTGGCAACGTGAGCCCTGAGATAACTGGGCAGGATAATCACTCTTTGGAGTCATGACTGCTCTTCTCTGAAATAGCAAGAGCCTCCTCAAGGCGGTAGCTGGAATAAAAAGCCTTAGAAAAGACAAGTTTACTTAGTTCTGTTCCTTGTGCCTGGCAAGTTTTGGAATGAAGTTAGTCAAAAGCACAGTTAAAAGACCTTGAATTGTGGTGCGAATGCCCGATCCCCTCTGCTTCACCTCCGTGACCTCAGGCCCCAATCAGACCCTGCCGAGGACAGGCTCAGGGGAGCTCTGCGTGGAGAAGGGTCTGACTGGAGGGAACCCAGGCTGTGGAGTGCTTACTACGCTTTCGGCATCTTGCTGGGTACTTACACTGTGCTCTTTTATTTGATATCCATAATGACCCTGCAAGTTAGCTTTATTTTCCCATCAGGCAAGTGAGAAAAATGAGGCTTAGACAGATTAAGGAATTTTTCTAGGTTTTCCTAGCCAAGAAGTGGTGGAGGTGGGATTAGAAAAGCACAAGGCTGGGGACTTCCCTGGTGGTCCAGTGGTTAAGAATCCGCCTTCCAATGCAGCGGACACGGGTTCGATCCCTGGTTGGGGAACTAAGATCCCACATGCCATGGGGCAACTAAGCCCGCGCACCACAATTAGACAGAAGACCCAACACAGCCAAAAATAAAATTAAAAAAAAAAAGGCACAAGGCTGCTTGGCTCCAAAGTTGGAGGAGATACTAATAGGGAAGGGCAACTGGGAGGGTGGCAGGACAGACTCATTGGATGGTTGACAGAGCTCCAGAATGGGACCAGCTATTAAAGGAGCAGGAGCAGAGAAGACTTTGCTAATACAACCAAAAAAGCAAGTGGTCACAGGTCCTCCCCTAAGCCCCAACTTCTTTGTTTCCTCAAAGTCCAATGTGGAGAAACAGGATCTAGATATAGGGTTACAGTCCTTTTATTTTTTTAATTCTTTTCCTCTTAGCTGAAAGAAAGCCTTTTACCTGAACCATAAAAGAAGCTATCTTCTACAGAAGCCATAAAGCTATAATCAGAGAAGTGATAAGAGGGGCATTATCCATTCATTAAAAAGTAGGCATTGATTGTTACACAGATGGGAGAGAAAGAAGGGAAATACGCAGTGTTCACCCAAATTATTAATTTAATATGTCAAGACTCTGATGTAACTCCTGGGTATTTTCAGGGTATGTATGATTTTATTGTTGTCTAGTTAAGAAAAGTAATCTACAAATAAAGTAATGGAATTCTTTAAATTCTGCTCAATTTTAAATTACCCTAAGGTATTCCTGGCATTTCTGTTACTCAGTGAGCCAAAGGTGTCCAAAAGCATTCTCCACAACTCCCAGGACTTAAACAACTTATTGAATTCCACAGGACCCCACTGCAGACGGGATGCCGCAGTGTACGGAGTTCTTAACCAACGGATCATTGGAAAGGTTTTCATATGAATAAGATGAATTAACTCATCAATAATATCACTGAAAATAACAATTGTGCATACTTATGAGCCTAATATAGAATTTTACAAGCACAATTGCTAGCTTTTCAGTTTCTTGGTAGTGATACGGACCAGATAGCGGGAATAGACTCTGATTTCAAAACCATTCACTTTTACCAGGGTGACCTATTGATTTTGGCTTGATGTGAATGACAGAAATGTGAGTATTGATTTCTGAATGGGAAACATTCAAGAGTTACTTTGAACGTCTGCGAACAACTCTTGATCTTGACAGGCAGAAATCAAAAGCAGACAGCTCTGTATTCTGAGAGAGCCCTGAAGGACTCCTTTTCCAAAACGATTTCACCCCTGGCAGTCTGCAGTGGTTCTGTTATTCACTCATTTGGTTTAAGGTGCTGAGAATTCCTATTCAAATGGAAACAATATAGGAAAGGATCATCACTGAGCCATTACTGGGGGAGCAAGACAGGGATGAGGCGAAAGATCACAAGTTTAAAGGGCAACCACCTGAGCTGGAATCCCAGTTTTGCCACTTTCCCCACAACCTCAGGCAAGTTATATAACCTGTCTGAATCTTAGTGTTCTTTAATGACGAGTGGGTGGTTGTATTTAGACTCAACGAGATAATGTAAATAAAGTACCCAGCACTGTGCCGGAGCCAGATTAGGAGCCCCCAAAGAAGTGATTACTGTTGTTACCAATACAGGTCCCCAACAGAGCTCCAATCTGTTATGACATCAGCCAGCCCGTCATCTAGCAGCCATCTAAGAGAATGGGCGAGAAGGTAAGTGAGGCAGGAAGGTTCAAAGAGTGTCTAGAATAGGGACCTGGCCAGAGTGGACAGGCTGGATCAAAGCATCTTCCTTGGGCAGGAGTTTGGGGATCCAGAGGGCACTGACTGACACTGGTGCCGGGGACTGATCAGTGTTGGAAAAAAGAAGGTGCAGCCAAGTGGTGACACAGCAAAGACTGCCTTTATGAAATACGTAGAACGAAGAAACTTACATCTTCTTACATACATGGATTAGATAACACCAATACTGCCCTTTCCTGTTTCAACAGATCCTGATGCAGCCCTACCAAGAGAAACCAGCAGATGTCCGGAGGGACAATGGCTGTGAAATGTGACTGACAGCCGGAGAGCCTCATCTTGGATGAGGACACTAAAGCACAGAGGGATGAGGTAATTTGACCAAGATCACACAGAGAGCAAGTGGTGGGGTTCCGAACTAAACCAAGAGGGCCCACTGTGCTATGAAGAGCAGGTTTCCCCTCTGTCTTTTCTGAATCCTGAACTTGCCCTCTTACGGGTTA